TTAGTCACCGAACACGGGGAACAATTTGTTCGTCGAGCCCTGGGTTACATTACAGCGTCCAAAACAGGTCTAACGAAGTCAGAACTGGAAGATATCTTATCATGTGATGATATTGTGCTCGCTGACGAAGTCTTTAAATACCACGTTCCCCCAATCAGAAGACTGCCCCCGTTACTGTGGACACGACTCAGGAACGACCTAGGTAACAAACCTTATTTGCCTTAATTGGTAATTGAAATAGAAAACCTGAGGTGATATCTTTCTGCAGTGGTTGTGTATCCTGTTTTACACTTAAGGGAGGTTCGTTCAGAACGAAACATAGAGACTTTCGTAAAAAGGGTGCATTTTCAATATGCCGTCCTATAATAGATGTCGAGGAGACACAGTCTTCAAGGAAAAGCTTTTCCACGCGAAACTTCTCTATCTAATGTGTTGAATTCACTTTAATTAGTTCAACCCAAAATGTACCGACTCATGCATTTCTTCTGGTGAATCTCCGCAGGGAGAAACACATAGACATCTTTTTTTAGTCAAGAGGCTACCTTAAAAGGCTAATTATTAGCACGAATAAAGGAAAACCTGCTTTTCAGTACCAGAGGTTTCACATTTCTTTATCCATTGTAGGTAGTTACTTAGTCAAAGTAGCAGCAGATGGTCACGTGGTGTACAAGTGGTATCACAGATTGTTCCTGGAGGCTGCGAGAAGTTACTTTCTAGGTGATAAGCCTTTTACAGACTCACTTCACAGAGATCTGGCAAACTACTTCAATGGCAGGTAAATAATAAAGTACGACACGCCTGTCAAGTGTTCCTTACCTCTAATAGGCCATAGTTGTGTTCTCGGAATTGGACTGGAACTAGCATGCAATAGAGGCTCATGCGGGGGAATATCATTAAAAGGAGATTAACTTCATTCGCATTTAAAAAGACTCCCCGCATTAATTAGCCTCAGTTGCAGGCTACAGCCTTGGTCACAAGGGTTGGAAAAAAAAATCATTCTATACACATTTTGCCCCTCCCCACCCCTGTGCAATGTTGACAAAACACTTTCATCCGACACAAGTTTGCATTTTACCGTTTTCCAACATTGAAAGGGGAAATGGGGGTGTTGACACTTATTATGTAGGTATTACGATTGCGATTTCATGTTTTTGGCATTTTCCAACACAATTTGTCCATGATTGTAGCTACAGTACAATACTGAGAATACGAAAATGGTCTATTACACAGTAATGACAAGATTTAATAACCCTCGATTTCATATTTCATTCCTGGCATGAATATTGTTCAATATTGAAACTTGAAGTTTTGTTGTGAACTTGTAATTAAACCAAACAGATGTATAAGCATGTGATGAGACAGTAGAAGAGAACTCATGCTTCAACGATCATTCCCAGCACCGTAAGAAAATTGTACAAAAACGAGGACAAACAACAGAAGTAATTTGGCAACAAAGTATAATCGCAAGAAGTTTTATACTTAATCGTATATGCTACAACTATCGATACATTGTTGTTAAGGTTTTAAGACAGTTTCTGTCTTGAAGGTGGGCACGCGAGGCAAAGCCGTACACAGATAAGCAAGGTAACATAAGAAGTGCTCACAGGATGGTGGCGGACCAACCGCTGATACTAAGTACTGAGGTCGAGGAAAGAATGGATTTGGAAGATGAAGAGGCTGGACCCAGATACAATTTGCGTAAATTGAGTGAGCTCCCTTACCATTTAATACGATCTGAGATGTGGAATGAATTTGTGGAGGTTCGAAATATATTTCATGTTACTTCTATTTAGGTAATTCTATAACGCACATGAAATGCAAATTGCAAGGTAATGAACCACACTATTTTTTGAAACGAGCACATTTTCATATGAATGTTATCGCACGAAGACTCGTTTTCAGAAATTAAAGAGGCAAAAGGCAGCTCGGAAAAGATCTATTAGGTAACCAGATATTCATTTATATTTAATTAATAAAGATAAGAGTTATTTCGTGGATCCTGTCAAGTTTCTACGGAATACCACGGCCACTGATATATTGATTTGCGTAAATTGCAACATGTATTGTGTGCTCAAGTGAGTTCAGTTGTACTCAGTGATGTATTTACTTGATATATAATGTTCATGTGCTTTCTAGGTTAAATGACGTTTTTAAAATCCTTATATCCTAGATTGTATGCCAGATTCCGTGGCTCATGGCAAAATGCAAGGCTGGCAAAGCTTTTGAACTCACCCTAGAACTCTCCGAGGTAAGTTAATTACAAATATAATTTTTTCGTACAGTAAAAACCTGCATGTAAGAACCAAGTTTTTTAAGAACCTGCTGGCATAAATGTGCTATTTTAAAACCCAGAAATATACAGAATAACAGTAAGAACCTGTTTAGCCAAGCAAGATCAAGCAGGTTGTTATATGTGGGCTACAGTTCAGTTATGAACTCCTCTTGTAGCAGCAACACTACATATACATTTTGTAATCACGTGGCGTTAAGTTTGTCATAATACAGTTTTGACTAAATACTGTATATAGTATTTTAAAAGAACCAAACTCAAGTGTTTTCAGTTTTCTGGTAATAACCAACTATATCTCCTTCATATAAATTAAGAACCTAATTAAGAACCTACTTAGCCTAAATTGCCGATAACTACCCCAAAATATAAGAACTTATTTTGCCAGACTTCGAGGTTCTTACACGTGGGTTTTAACTGTAATGAAGAAGGGAGTGTTATCAAAAAAGAGAACACCATTTAGAATTGTAAGTAACACACACGTAGTTTACTTTAAAGATTTAAAACTTCTCAGACCTCAAAGAAGATAGCTCGAGGAAGAGATAATTAGAAGTAATAGGAATTAATTACATGTTGTTTTTGTAGGCCTCGCTGAAATGCGCCAAAGACAAATCAGCTATCATCGAAGATGTTTACAGCTGTAT